GAAGGTTAAATAACTGCCCATTCTGCCGCCAAAACCGCAATTTTCTACCATTTCTTTCCCCCCCCCCCCCCCATCTCAAATTCAGATCCAGATTTAAACTCTAAAAAACATAAGGTAGGGAGAGAGAGTTACTCTGGTAGCAGAGTAACTGCTGCCAGCCCTGTCATGGATGGCCTCTCTTCTAAGCCCTTTTGAGCTTTTGAGTATCTCGTTCTCTAAAGCAGCCAACATATTTATAGTGATATTGTGCCCTAAATGGTATCTTGAGCCTGCAAATTTGGCCTAAGCTATTTGGCCTAAACACAAGCTAAAACATGCGTACAGCTCTGGGTGGAAATCAGTGAGGCCAGCTGAGACCTGCATTCTTCTTCCTTCTGCGTACACCTTGCATGGTTGTCCCACTCCCCCGCTCACTCCTCTGCTCTCCTGCCCATCTATTTGATGAATTCACTTTGCCTTCAAGAGATTCTTTCCTTGGAAAGCCAGGGCTTGAGCTTTCCTATCCAATAGATAAAAAGCAACTGAGGATGACTTGGACTCTCTCCTGTCAAGCCCCTGCTGACTATAAGCAGCTTCAGATGATCTTCTCCCGGCTTATATAAGGCACTGATACATAAGTTGGGGGGAAATTTGCCAGGAGGAGACCATTTTTAGTAAGAAAACATGTTTCCTGTTCTTAGAGATCTTGGAGATCTCCACATGATTTTTCTGTTTCCATGACAAAACTACATTCTCCCAGATAAGCAGTATGGTACTTTCACCCTCTGGGATCTCAGCCTTGACTGCACTTTGGAGTCATCTGGGGCGTGTTAGAAGTATACATGCTTGTGGGCCAAGCCCGTGGCGCACTCGGGAGAGTGCAGCGCTGGGAGCGCAGCAGCACTCCCCCCGCGGGTTCGGATCCTATATAGGGATGACCGGTCCACTCACAGCGCTCACTGGCTGAGCGCGGTGCAGCCGGTCTCAAAAATGACAAAAAAAACAAACCAAAACAAACAAACAAACAAGAAGTATACATGCTTGAGCCTGATCCCAGAGATTCTGGTTTAGTTTATTGGGGTGTGGCCTGAGCATCAAGAATTTTTAAATCTCAGGTAATTCTAGTATGTAGCCAAGGTTGGGAACCACTGAACTGGGCATCGTCTGATCCAAACATTGTCTTGGCTTGAAAGATGGCTGTACGCATTCCCATCCCCACTCCAACTCCCAATTCACCTTTGTGGCTATTACTTTGAAGGGTAGAAGTTTAGCTATGGATTTAATAGTATACTTTGAATACCAAGATCAAATGGGCTTTAGTCTTGTAATATGCCCTATACAGGTTTATCCTTTGAACACATTCATTTCATTTCATTTTGGTAAATGTATACACTAATTGTGTATTGAGTGTGGTGTTTGTGTCCTATGTGTAAGATAGGGGGGCATTCACACAAAGAGATTTCAATCTGATGTATTCTGTTCTGGTATATTCTAAACTCTAGAAAGTAAAGAGAGTTTAAAGTTTTCCCATTTAGCAGAAAGCACAACTGTGCCTCTTTGCCACTAACTCCAGGTGGGCCTTCTGAAAGATGTAGAAACAAGTGGGGAGCAATTGTATTTGACCAAATGTCATCCCGAAACTCGTGACTCATCATTTGAACACCAAGTTCAAGGATTCGGATCCCCTTACCAACCAGCTGCCAAAAAACCACAGAAAACAAACAAAAAAACCTCATGGCTTAGGGCATTTTGTGTGGTAATTCTCCTAGTGATTTCACGAGCCACCAATCCATCTTGTCCAAGGAACTGTCAGGGTCCAACCATATGTTATTCTTCTTGGCCTTTTGTGTATAGTGGGGCAGGAAAGGCACAGCCATTGTGTTCACCTACTTGATTATTTCCATGGGAAGAAGTCACAGCTAGAGAAGCACGAGGTGTCCCTAACAATCCCTCATTGCAGGCAGCTGTGATGCCATTTGTTCATGCAGCCTGCTTGTGGGGTAAAGAGGGCTGTTGCCTATATTGACATTCAACTTGGATACTGGGGAGACTATGCAAAACCTTCTCTTCCAAGATTTTGGCTTTGGGTTTCTCACCCAGCTTGTTTTGTGTAAAGGTGGAAAGAAAGAATAGGTTGTTGATTTTTCTGTGTACAAAATAAACATCTCACTTTCCTTTTTCTCTAGCTGTAGGACACATGTCCTTGTTCGAGTATAGTTGGAAGCGTGGTGAGGGCAGGCAGCTTTTTGATTGATTTTTGTGATAGTAAGTACACAGGAATTTTTGGTTATTTAGACTTTAGCTATTAACAGACGTGGACTTCATTTCTCCTGAGATTTCATAAGAGTAAGATTGAGGCTTTTCTGTGGAAGTTATACTTTAATACAGAACAGTGACCGTCCTCCCTCTGATTCATCTTCTAATAAGATAATGTAAGTGTCTCTTAAACCTTTTCACACTCTCTAGAGGAAGAGCTAACTTCTAGCTGCTTTGGTCAGGCATATTGGACTTGTAGAAAGGCTAGGGACTTCTCAGAATAGTTGGGAGGTTAGCTTAACATTGCACAGTAAGACTTCATGTGGGAATCAAAATGGCTCAGCCTTGTTGCTTGATTGAGTTGTTACAGGCACGGTCATTTGCTCTGTCCCCTGCTGCCTTCCTAGAAGTTGCCCAGCAAAGTCTACCCTGGGGCTCCCAACAACTCTTTCTGTTTTGCCTTGCCCCCAAGATCCAGCTCCCACCTTGATGCTTCTGTCAGGCTCCTGCCCCCCCCCTCCACTTTAATGTGGGGACCAAGGGCCTGGGCCTGTTTATCCTACCTTGACAGAGGAAGAAACTAAACTTAGACACATATTGCATGTTTGCATGGCTCACAGGGAGTCGCTTCCATCTCACCTCTGTGGACTAATATCTCTCTCTTTCTCTTCCTTTCTGTTTTCTCTTTACATACTCTGTAGCTGCCTGAAAATGCTCAACCTGTGGTGAGTCCCTCTCTCCAGTCCACATACAAGGGGAGCGGACCAGACTAGGCTGGGATTGGCAAAGCCAAACAAAATGCCTTAGGAACATTGAATGGCTTCCATATGCCTCCTTGTGCCATAACCACCCAGACTGGGGAACTAGATCTACAAGGTGGGGATGGGGCAGACCTATATCCAGGAATTAATCTATTCCTTTTTTCCTTTCAAACCCACCTCATTGCTCCCTCCTCCTGCCTAAACAATATCCCACAATATCCAGTATTATCTGTTTCTAGCTGAGTGAATTTTCTCCCAAATTAATATGACCAGATATTATCAGAGGGAAAGGGACAGAGATAAGAGAACAAGTTTACTATATCAGTTGTTTAGATATCAGTTGTGTTTCCTCACAACCACAAGGACAGTGTTGTTGCCAGATGATCTCACATATTGCAACTTGCTCTCTAACCTGGCAGTTTGCTGCTTTGGAAAAATCTGTGACTTTTCTTTTTGATTCAGCTGGTTCTTCAATGTATAGAGTAAGAGTCTCTAAAAAAAAAACAAAAACAAAGAGAGCTCCTTCTTGGAGGAGAGAGAGAGACTCTTTGTTGTTGTTGTTTTGGGGGTTGTTTTTTGTTTGTTTGTTTTTCGTTTATTGTCTTTTTCTTTATTCCCATAAAGAATACAGTGGGCCAAGGGCTGACTCAGCTTGACTCAGCTAATTGAGATACTGGAACCTGTCTTTTCTACTCCTGGAAAAGGCTCCTTGAATGTATTCTTAGGAACAACATGGGGTATATGGAAGCAGAAGCCCTAAAGAATCAATGTATGGTGAGGAACATTCTTGCTGAAGGACAAGGCCCCATCCCCAGCTCTCTTCCTGGACACTGCTTGTGACCTTCCAGATGCTCCTGAACTTGCTGGTCTGTTGCAGTCTGGATTGTAACTCTCCCACATTGTCTACATGCATAGGTTTATATTCTGCGTGGAGATAACAGCCTACTGGACTCTGTGACTACCTTGTTTCTATTTGTCTTCAGTGATTGGGTCGGACACTGGTTTCTGAACCCCACTATCTAAGCCAAATTGCCTACAGAGGACAGGGATGTATTGAAGATAACAACTGGGTTTTATGGATATAGGATTTGTAGTCTTAGGGTGTCAAAGAGTACATTTGGCCTCTTCGTTTTGCAAATATGTGTCTGTAATCTGACATTCTCGTGGTCTGTTTTTTCCTGTGAGGTGTCAGTCACACGATCCTGACTACAAATACTTAAGGGCCTCCTATGTGCTCATCCAACCTTGTGCTTAGAACTCTAGGGGGTCGCAAGACCTGCCCCAAAGAGCTTAGAAATCATCTAACTAGAGAGATCAGCCATACATACATGAAAGGACAAGGAGTTCTCCAGGACACTTACGTCATTGTCCTGGAGAAGCTAAAGGGTCACTGTGAACAGGTATGTTCAAGGAAGACTTCATGGACAACACAGGACTTGAGCCAAGTATTAGAGCAAAGGAAGAATGTATAAATGTGGCATAGAAGAGGAACATAGCAAAGGAGCCGCTGAAGGGAGAGAGCCAGGACATAGTAAGAGAGCGGTATGGAAAAGGTCAGAGGCCTGGGGGAAGAGCACTTGTGAGGAGGGAGACATAGATCAGTTTTGACCCCAGTATGTTAAGAACTTCTGGTCATCCAAACAAAGAATCAACTGGAAGGGAACCTCAGACACACCTGGCTTCATCACCTGCCTTCATTCTCTTCTGAGAGTAACGCGTGTGTATGGAGGCCATGAGTGGGATTGATCCTCGAGTCTGGTCCAGTTTAATGGGTCCTGTTGCTAGTAGTCACCACAGAAACCAAACAGTTGAACAGCAGAGTATGGAGCCTGCTTCTTTATGGGTAGAATTATTTAAAGCTTCGCTAAAACATTAACTACAGTAACTGGCAAAAAATTAATTTAGGGCTTCTAAAATGTAAAGTATTCCAGCTCCTCTGAACCACAGCTCACAGTTTCCTCCAGTCAGGTGAATTCCACATTGCACATCAGATCATGATATATGTTTGTAGGCAGGCGTGAATTCTCATGATTTTCCTTAGAGGAGGTAAAAGAGAAGTCATCGTACACTTTGAAATGGACCTAAACAGTATTTCAGACTTTTTTGACTGCTTTATTTAAAAACTCAGAATTATCATCTTAGCATCCTCCAAAAAGAATAAGAATAGACATTGACTTAAAAGTTAGTAATGCCTCTAAAAATCATGGTTAAGAAGGAACAGGTAAGTCTATTGAAATAACAATGCTTTTATGAGATTTAACTTGTCCCTTTTAATATTAATTTCAGGACATCTAATTTGGAAAATGTCCATTTCTGAAGCATATGTACAGAAAAAAGACTTTTTTTCTTGAATTCTTCCCCAGGGTTTCCATTGAGAACTATTTTAAACAGTCATTTTCATTTAAAATAAATTATTCAGTTTCCAAATACTCATGGCAATATTGGTTAGTGACTGTATTCACACCCGTTAATAGTACTTCACAAATGTCATTGAAACTCTCAGAGAAAGTCTTAAGACCTTCTTAAGAAACTCCTATTTCCAGAATTTCCATGTTTGATTCATTCAGATATGGTTAAACCTCTTGTTGTCTGTGTAAATGTTTATTTCTGCATTCTAAGAAATTTTCTCCAAGTTTTTAATAACTAGTCCTTTGGATGTAGGAATACCAAGGGGTCTGATTAAAAAGAGAGGGAATCTTAGCTACAGTGGAGAACCTAAGGGAAATAAGCAGCAGTTCTTTATTTCCATATGAATATTCCTTGCATTAAAACTGGAAGGATTAGACAAGAGACCCAAAAATAGTTTTCTCAGAAAAAGATTTTCTTTCAGTGGTTCAGCAGGCCTGAGTTATATGTACTTCCAACCTTATTCCCCTCTATCATCTGGCATCTTTCACTCATCCACCACCTTCTGCCCCTCACATTCTCATTTCCCATGTGTTGGCTCCCTGGAAAGGACATATCTTTTGCACCAGCCTTGCCGCAACCCTCACCATCCCCCTTCTGGATGGCCTAAGCAAGAGTGATGCTTCCTATTCCAGAGACAGTAGTGAGGAGGGGATACTCAGGCACAGGGATGTCCCAGAACTGTGGCTGTTCCCCAGGAGGCGGCACTTGGAGGGCTCATGAAGGGAGCAGGCTCCAACCTCAACCCTAAACAGGGCCAGTTCTTAAATCCCATCTGACAACAGCATCAGCAGTCTCAGGGAGCTAAGTTGGGGAGTAGTACCCTGTGACCAGAGAACCTCCTGATGATCAGCTCCTGGTCTCTATCTTTGGTCCCCTCTGAATGAAAAGGGGGCGGTATTGGTGTCAGTCAGGAGATGTGAGCTCACATCTCTTATTAAAGTTAAGGCTTCTCCTGCCTACTCCACGTAGCTGGGTGGGACAGGGGATGGAAAGAACTCTTAATTGTTCATTGGTAGCGTTGTGAGGTCCTCCCAGAGTTCCAAACATCATACTTTCCATGGGATTTGTTTGCTTGAGTTTAGCCTCCCTGCCTGCTGACCAGTGAGTTGCATTAAATGATTTTGCTCTTAGTTTCAAGGAACAGACAATGCAGACTATTCTAATGCAGGCCTGAGGAGCCCCAGCCTTGGTTTCAGACAAAGATGAGGTATCTGGGTTGGATTTTAGACTAGGAAAGAAGCCGCCTTCATCCTCCTTGAATCAGCCCAGCTTAGCCTGCAGCATTTTGATAATTAGGTTGGGTGGCTGTAGATTGAAATCAAGCAGCTGCTTCCTTTGACTTTCCTGGAGACACTGCCTACTGCCTCGTTGTGCACACTGTAGATGGTGGGCGGCCCTGTGGGTGAGTGCCAGGGGAAAAATTTCACCCCTGTAGTAAGCAGAAGTCTGCTGAAGCTGCAGGCCTCCCCACTGACTTGTACTGTTCCTTGTGCTCCAGGTGCTGCTGTTTCTTTAAGAGGAAAAGGAAGAAGACTGCTCAGCGCCACAAGTGACCAGTGCCTCCCAGGAGTCCTCGGGTCCTGGGGACTGTGACTCGATTGCACCTGAAGCTCCTGCCATTTCTCATTGGAAGGGACTCCTCTGTGGGAGAGGGTGGAGATTCAAACCAAAAAGAAAACAGATGCCCCCAGCAGGAGCCAGTGTGGGCAGCCAGGGCCCAGTGGGCCAGTGGCCATCCCCACCTGCCTAAGGCTCTGAGCAGGTCCCAGAGCTACTGCTCCTCCACTGCTTGCCCTTGGGGCTACCTGGTTGACTCTCCTTCCCATTGTTTACAGTGAAGTTGTTATTCACAAAAACTCAAGGACTACTATATTCTCCTTCCTTTTACTCCTGGTTCTTGCCCGACCCTCAACCTTCTCCAGCAAAAAAGCTAGTGAGCTTAAAGGCTTTGTCTGAGGAAGGAGCCAAGAGGCTGGGGGCAAGGCCAGGAAGGCAGAAGGAAGATGACAGACCTGAGTTGGAGAAGAACCTTCTCCTTCTCCCAGGTGTGTCTGGCAGTGTAGCTTCCTCTCCCTCTGTGCCTGTGCAGCCTCCATCCCACCTGGCCACGGGGTTCAGGCTCTTTCCTCCCTCCTGTGAAGTACACTGTAGGACACAAGCTGTGAGAAATCTGCAGTCTACTGTTCCCTTGTATTGGCGTTCCTAGCTTTCTTGACAAGTGAACTCTTTTTTTCCAGGCAGTAGTAGGACAATGCAGATTGTTCTGATCAAAGGAAAGAAAACTGACTATATTGCACTTTTAGTTTTTTTTAAAAAAAAAACAAAAAACATGACAGATGCATATTGTGTCTGGTTATACTGGGAGTTTTACTTTTTTCTGTTTTGAGGGGAATGGGGCCAGCCAAGCCATTCAGAGAGAACATGGGTCCAGAGGACATTCTCAACGGAAAGAGTTTAATCTGCAGCACCCAGAAGAGAAGAAGCCAAACTGTCATTCTGAGTGAACAGATGAACATTCAGGTTGGCAAGAAAACATACTTGAATTTTCATTTATCTTCTCAGCTGTTGAAGAATGTCCCTACCAGAGCCTCTCGACCTAGTCAATCTGCAGATTGAAAACCTAACTCTCCAGCACATGGGATGAGCCAGCGAGCCCAGACTGTGACCAGAGACAGCTCGTCCCAGAGAAGGAGATGCTTAACAACAAAATCTGAAATGTCTGTTTCCTCTACTGCCAGGGACTTCTAACTAGATAGCTTTGTGACTTCCTGGTGACTTGGGGGACAAAATTAGTGATCAAACAGCCACTATCATGTTGCTACTAGTGGACAAAAAGAGGGCGACAGTGAATCTGCCTTCCAACTGCCAGAGGAGCCTCAGGGTATGGCATTATAGGGCCAGGATAAGAAAATTGGTGTGTCCTGTCTGCCCCAGTAGCTGAGCTGTAGCATTGGGGCTGGCCTGTCTTCTCAGAAAGCAAGCCCCTGAAGATCTTCTCCCAGCAGGTCCATAGCAGCAGGCTTAGGACTCAGTACATGGGGCTACAGTGAGCAGAAGGGTAAGGTTAGTTGGTGATGGAAACAGGAAAAAGGAGATTAAAATGAAAGGTCTGAAATTATCTTCTCAGTTGGACATAGACTTCTTCCAGATAAGATGGCCATGCATCTAAGCATGTTTTCCCCTGTACACCCTCCACCTCCCACCATGGTGTATTCACATTGCCATGAAGGATCTTGGTTCCTCATTCACTTTGAAAAGATAGTGTGTGGAGTTACTCTTATGCTCGATTTTCATTTGAGTTTATAGCTTATCCAGACAGCAACTTTTCATTACAGATGTAACAGAGGACAAAGGATTATTTACGTAAGGAAAGGAAGCCTTGTATCTGGGAGTAGACAGCTAACCATGGAGGACAGTGGCTGGTGCCTTAGTCTGGTGGTTTATGGAACAGAAATCTTTACCTTTGGTTTGACATGTAAAGCTGTCTTTTGGACTGGAGGGTGTGGGGATACTTTCTGGTAGTTGGCATTTCCTGACAAGTTCCTTGATGTACCTTACATGGAGCAGAAATTGCCACATTAGCATGGATCAGAATTACTGGGTTCCATTGGACCCTTGGCTACTGAATATCACTTCACTGGCTTCAAACCTGCTTAGCTAATGTAAAGATCGTAATCTCATTTCTTTAAAAGAAATTTTTCTGTATATGAAACATAGAGCGGCAGGGAGATGCAGTGTCACACCCTTCCTTGCAAGGACATTGAAAATTGGAGTTTGCTGCCTTGCTATTACCTAATGATTAAAGCTCCATCGCAGAAATTTCCATATTGTCTCCATTGGCATTTGAGCAGCACTAGTGTTTAGAAACTTTAACTTCCTCATCCCTGTATAAAAAAATGTCTTGCCTCTCAAGGGAGGGCAGGGGAAATGGTGGCATAGCCTGGAGCATCACGGCACTCTATACTCCACCAAGTGCCTCTTCCAACCCCTCCACCCCCACTCCACAAAAAAGCAAAGGCAATGAGCAGCTTGGCTGCAGAGCAGGCTGCCTTGTAGCTTGGGTTTGTAACTTTTTTGTGTGTGTCTTAAAATTTTTAAAAGACTAGTTCTTGAGCAGTTGGTGGGTATACAGTCCTTCCTAATGCATTGTTCTCACCCTCCAACCCCCACAAATCTCGTAACTAGTATATTTAATTTTCTTAACAATGGTGAAGAGCCCCAGTTCCCTTTGGCATGCAAGGTAATTAATGGTGATCTTTCTAGGGCCACTGGCATGCCACAGTGTTCCCAGACTTGGGAGATTCTGTTGTCATGTTCTTTAGAAAACAAAACCGTAAAAAACTGAGTACCCTAGAAGCCATTTGACCATCAGTTCCGGCCCCACCAGCACATCAGAGCTCCCTCCTCAGGCGTGTTGCTACAGTTTCTTAGCTGTATGCCTCAGCCAGATCCTTGGAGTTGGGCCCTCCCTCTATCACCCCCACGTCCACCCCCAAATCCACTTATGGTGCTCGTGGATCTTTTTCTTTGGGATTTGATGGATGCCGTTGTTTCTCTTTAAAGCTGACTCAGTATCTGTCCATTAAAAACCCTTGATATACCACTGGGAGTTCTCCCAAGTCCTACTGGCATTGCGTCCTGAGCAGATTGAAGCAGGCAGGCCTGCATTCCACCAAGGCATATAAAGGGTTCTTTCCTTGTGGCCAGAGCATGATTTACATCTGTGCAGTCTAAGCATGTAAAGTTTGACCCGTTGCTCTACACACCTTGGCACATTTTAGAGATCTCACTTTAGACTGTACCACAAGGGTAGATGGAGTGTCCCAGCAGCCAGTGTATATCCTTGACTGCCTTAAGTAACGTTCATCTGCTATTCTGGGTCTGTCTAGGAGTAAACAGGGTCTAGGAAGCTACAAGTCAGGCTAACTGGAAGTTAGCCTCCAATTAAATTCCGTTTTACTTTGGAATGCATGAGCTACATGTGAAAGCGGGGATCCTGAGGTTTCTGAAAGTGTTGATTGCCTGTTTATCCTCATTGAACTCCAAAAAGCAGCCCCTGCTCATTAGCCAGAAGAGGCATCCATCGCCTCTAGAGTAATTTTCACTTAGTTCAGTGGAAATGTACGCTGGTATTGCAAATTCAATGTAGATTTTCAGTGTTAGCAACCACTTTTAATGCCAGAAGTATGCAACAATGGTGATGTCAAAGTGGTTACTAAAGATTATAGCTTTAACTTTTTAAATTTATATAAAAGATATAATCCCTTCTCCATCCCCAGTAAGCAAGCATGGCCTGTATTTCCTAAAAATAAGATCTTCCGTGGCAGCTTAGAAGGCATCTCCTCAAAGGAACTGATGCATCTTTCCCAAGCCCACATGCCTCCTGTGTCCCAGCCACCTCTTATTTTCGTATAAACCAGTTTTCCAACCCCATTGAGTTGCCCTGACAATGTATCTGATGTCAGAGCCTCACTAGGGCTGCAGTTTCTCAGATTGGGAGCTTGCATGCCATACGGCCAACGTTGCCTTTGCCGGGCCACTGCCACCATCCCCATCATTGCCCCAAGGTGGGCAGACGAATTCCAGAAACCCTCAGGGAGCCAGAATAAGTAGGCACTCCATTTGGATTGACCATGTGGGTGACAGGCACTTTTCTCTGGGGTCTATGCTTTTGCAGATGCCAGGGAAGTCCCATCTAGAAGCTGGTGGCCCATGACACCCCCATCTTCCCCGTGATGGGTCAGTAAGAATCAAATTTGGGATTCCTTTGGGTTTGGATTGGTGGGGTGTGGGAAGAGTTGTTTCTGAATAAGAAAAAGAAGAGGCAACCATGGCCCTTCTGTGGGTTTGTAGAGTTATGAGCAGTGTTTTAGCCACAAGTAAGGAATCTTGGAAGTCTTTGATCCAGTAAGCAGTCTTAAAAATGTTTTTCCTAACTCCTTTTGCAGGTGACTAAGTGCAAATGAATAGTTTCTCATTGTATTCAAAATATTAAGTAGGTTCCCTGGATATAAACAATAATAGCTGACATTTTCTCAAAAAGCAACTAGGAAACCCATTCCAGTATTGGTAGATCAGCTTACAAAGGAAAAAGTGAACATGTACTCCATTTATTTCAAGTTTGATTACCAAACTTCATGTTCTAAAGAAATCTCGGTTGTGTGGACAGAATTTCTTTTGTTATTTTTTCTTCTTTTACTCCTCACAATCACTTTTCCGGTGCCATCACCACCTTTAAGGTCTCAGAGCAGAGGATTATCTACAGTAGTAAATGGGGGTGCAGTGTAGGCATCCCAGTAACACGCATAGCTGTCCTGACCACCCCCTCAAGCCCATTTCAGGACAGGTGAGACATTTTCAGTGTTTCTTTTCATGAGTTCCAGACCAAATCCCAGGCAAGCCCTTGCACCGAAAGCCTTTTTAGGTTTATCAATCTGTTTGGAATCTCTCAGGAAAGATGAGCCATTTTTCTTTGGGCGGAAATGTATTTACAGATGAGGGTGTGTGATTGCATGTGTGTGTGCAGATGTGCTCATTTGTGTGCATTTCACTTCCATAAAGACTCAGCCCAGGCTGCTGAGAACCATGTGTTCCTGAATATTCTCAGAGGTAAACAAGTGACAAGTGAGCTTCTCAAATTTGTGTCTCAGCAAGCTGGCTCCGGGAGTGAGAGCCCCATTTATCAAGCAGAGAGAAGAGTAACAGCAGAATAGATAGAGATGAAACCAAAAATATTATAACCTCCCCCCAATGGAAAGTAATGTTGATTCAGCAATTCCCATTGGATATATTACATGTATAATTTATTATGTTATTATTTGTCTTTAATCTTTGCCCATTGTACTCTTAAAAAGATATTGGGATATTGATTGCAATTTTTAAAAACTAGATAATGTATAAATCAGCTATGGAAATCAGTTTTAATTGATGTGTGGATGTGTCTGATTAGTGTTAAATGCTTCTTTTTTTAAAAACTTTTCTTTTTTTCTTTTTTTGATAATGTAATGTTTCATAAACCCTGGCACTGGTCGCAAAGCTCAGCTGTGAAAATGAAACTTGTAGTATTTTTAAATATGAATGTCAATTTTAAGTGTATTTGAAATGTTTCCTCCAGGAGAGAGATTTGTATACCGTTAGGAAGAACTCTGCAGAGGAAGTAGCCTTCTCTGGAGAATATGGAAAATGGGTCCTCATATGTTGTCTCAGAGTAGCCCACTTTCTAGGGCACCATGGAAAACAGAAATGTGATCTTTAAGTATATTTCTTCCTCAATTCAGAGAGGAAAGGACTCAGTTTCCATCCTTTTTGTATGTAAAATAAAGTGTCTTACCTTTCTTGGCTACTTTTACATGTTTGTTTAGTTTGATTGGTTTGACTATTTTTGTGGGGTTTTGTTGGGGTTTTTTTGGCAGCTGGCCAGTGTGGGGATCCCCAACCCTTGGTCTTGGTATTATAGCACCTTGCTCTAGCCAACTGAGCCAACCAGCCAGCCCAATTTGATTGTTTTTAATCTCCCTGTGGCTCAATTGCAACTAAGAACATGGCTAGGACTAACTTTGGTGTGATTCAAGGCTCCCATGAATCAAAATAATGCCTGGCACTTTGGCATTCTTTCTTCATTTCTCTGGATTGAACATTGTCCTCTCCTGAGTCACTTCAAAAATAAATATTCTGGGAAGAGTTTGAACATTATCACTCACATGTTGCTATTTCCTGTATCCCTGTGATTCTTAGGTGGTAGAATACCATGAAGACAGGATCTGGTATGTGGACCTTTTTTTTTTTTTTGCGACTGTCGGGTAACAGGGATTGAACCCTAGATATTGGTGTTATCAACACCACGATCTATCTGACTGAGCCAACTGGCCAGCCCTGGAGCAACTTTTTTTTTTTTTTCCTTTTTGTCTTTTTTCGTGACTGGCAACGGATCGCAACCCTCAGTGTCACGCCCGTACCGGACCAGGACCGGCAACGGGATTGCAACCCTCGGTGTTGCGCCCGCACCTCGCTCAGCCAGTGAGCGGCCGGTCTGTATGTGGGATCCGAACCCTCGGCGGGAGCACCGCCAGGCTCCCAAGCGACGCACTGTAGCAGTGCGCCACCGGGCCGGCCCTCCTGGAGCAACTTTAAATAGCTTTATAATTCTGCTCTACTAATAAGGAACGTGTACAGACAGAAGTTATAACTGTGATGTGCAATGTAAAGATCATAAGTGCATAAACATATAGCCAACAAAACAACTGCCAATCTGGGCATGATTGGCTAGTTCCGATTTTTTTTTATTGCTACTTTCCACTTAATGACTTATTTTTTCACTGGCAGGCAAGTAGGAACAGAAAACATACTTAAGATCATGAGAGAAAAGTTTCACACTGAGAGCCTTTTGTCCAACCTGATTTTTTTCTTTTGAAAGGGCTTGAGGGAAAGCCTGCTTTTCTGCCATTTTAGCATTAGCTCCTTATGTGCAGGAGGCTACTTGGAAAACATAGTTTGGTAAATTTTTCTCACGGGCCATGGGCAGTGCGAAATCAATGAATGGGGAAAGAAGCTTGACAGGCCAAAAAAAAAAAAAAGACGGGTGGAGGTGGAAGGGTGGATTTAGATCATCTTTATGTAACAATTTTACCTAGAAGAACCTCCACCTGATTGAGGTGGTTTGGATTAAGGTTCAAGGATGGAAAATAACAAATGTCATTTGTGTTTACAAAAGAACTGTTTTGAAGCTCTCCGGCCTGGCTGCAGTGACGTTGGTTTATGGAAGGACAAGTTAATGCCAGTGGCCATGCATAACCTCAAACTCAGCTCAGCATCTCATATAAAGACCAAATTGCATAGTTCAACTTTGGAAATGGAGCCATGCCTACAGTCTAGGCTGTTACAACCTGGAATTTCTACAAAGTTAATCTTTGAAAATTAGTTTCAAAGGCATTTAATAAAACCATAGGTCCAAATTTCAGATATAAGATGTGTGTATCATTTTTATTTTTCTAGGTGCCGAAGACTCCCAGTACCAAAATACATAGATGGTTGGACTTA